GATCTGAAGGAAGTGCTCAACTAGAACAAACAGCCTTTAAGGAGGAAGAGAGGGAAATAATGAAGAGAATATAGAAGCAACTTAAGATCAGAGAAGGGAAGGAGGCAAAGAGGAAGAGGCTGGAAAACGAGTTCCAGCAGAAGAATATCAGAGATGAAGAAGATCCCAGGCTTCCAGCAGGAGGATGATCAGACAGATGGAAGTCTGGACAGAGCTAATGAACTGAATCCATTCAACAAGCTCATCATCTTTCTCTGCTGCCCACAGTCACATGGACATCCTGCCCTCCTCTGACATTCACTCTTCTGCTTCTGTTATCAGCCAGATCAGCAGGTGGTGCTGCTCCCTCCACCTTCCACCTGTCTGTCTCTAGAAGTCAGTAAAGAGGCAACAGGAGAGACTGGATGGTAATCAGTCAGCAGGTCCTGATGGTGTCAGAGTCCTGAAGGCCTGAGCAGAGCAGCTCTGTGGGATTCTACACACAGTTCCAGGGATGTGGAAGACCTCCTGCCTTGTTCCAGGACCAAAGTAGACTGAGCCAGCAGTCCTCAGTGACTATAGACCTGTTGCCATGACCAGTGATGGGACTAACGGCGTTGAAAGTAATGCCGTTACCTTGTTTTAGGAACGAGTAATCTAACTAATTACTTTGACTGTAACTATAACGCAGTTACCATTGCAGACACCCCGTTACTGCGCGTTACTCAGGTCGCACAATGAACCTTTTTTCATGATAGGACTCGTGCGCAGCTGCGTGAAGCTGACACCCCACCCACGTCAAAAAACTGAATGGTTAGTGCAACGTTAGTGCAGATTTGTGCAGAAAAAAAATATTGTTTGTGCTACTTTTGTTTAAGAGATATTAAAGATAATTTTTTAGGTCATCCAGAGGTGTGCGCCTTGTCATGAGAGAGGGGAGCATGAGATTGGCTGATGTATAGTGAGATTGCGTCTGTCAGTTGGGTAGGTGGGTGTTTCTGCTGGTGGGTGTTAACGTACAGCACACACAGAGAGATGGAGAGTGAGGATGACTCCAGCAGCAAAACAGCGTTTTTCAGTTGGAAATACCGGTGTTACATCGAGCTGCGTTTCCCCACCACATACGGTTTCCTCTGCATCTCCGCACAGCGCAGGCGGCACGATTCACTGCGCAAGCGACAGGAAACGCGCATGCTCGCTAAAGGCGCGCAACAGTCGCCCTGTGCTCGCGCCACAGGAGAACTATGGAGAGCGTGAACGATCAAATGATAGACCTGACAACGGATGGATGGATGGATGGATGGATGGATGGATGGATGGATGGATGGATGGATGGATGGATGGATGGAT